TGGACAATACTACTCGTGCATATTTACTCAAGGGACATGAAAACTTATGTCCACACAAAAACCTGTATATGAGTGCAAGAGCGACTCTATTCAAAATCACCTCAAACTGGAAACAAAACGTCCTGCAACAATGAGTAAACAGGATACTACTCAAGCAATGAAAAGGAACAGATCATTGAGCCATGTAACAATTTGAATGAATCTTGAAGGCATCGTGATGACTGAAAGAAGCCAGCAGAAGAAACCACACTGTATTACTTCATTATATAATAGCCTCAGACAGACAAAACTAGAGTAATGGAGAACAGATCAGTGGTTGCCAGGGTTGTGGGGGAAGGATGTGAGTACAGGGTTGTCTGAGAGAGTTTGGGGGGCAATGAAACTGTTTTTGTATCCTGATTGTGGTGATGGTTACAAGAATCTATACATGTGATAAAATTTATGAAACTGTACAGCCTCAAAGGAGGCAATTTTATTACATGATAACTTGAAAACATCAAAAAAAAGAAGACAACCAAGAGTCATTGAATGTGAGGAACCACCATTAATCTGAGCTGTGCACCTCTCCCTATATAAAACCTCACACAATTCCACCATGCTATGCTTTTAGTCATCCATCTAGTACACACTTATGTAGCACTTAATATATGCCACGCAATTTAAAAATAACTATAAAAGAATTATGATTGGTGGGAAGAACTCAAGATAGGCAATCCTCTCCCCTCTGTGTTTTACAGTAAGAAATTTTTTCTTTTTTTAAAATAGAGACAGGGTCTTGCTATGTTGGGGGATGGTTTTGAACTCCTGGGCTCAAGCCATCCTCCCATTTTGGCATCCCAAAGTGCTGGGATTACAGGGGTGAGCCACCACACCTCGCCATAGTAGGTCATTTTTCTAATCAATATATTTATAACACTAGAAAGAATACTGAAATAGTGCTTGGAGAACAAAATTGTTCTTGCATAAAGGCTTGTGAAGTAGGGAAGGTAGACTGTAAAGATAGAAACGAAACAGAGACTCAAGGAGGTTTGCAGTCCCAGTTCAACAGGGTGTGGTGGTATTAAAGCACAATTTTTCACATTTCCAGGCGAGGGCTTTAATTCTATTTCACAATGTTTTGTGCTGATGTTGCAATATGTTTCAAGATTCTTAAAATTGTTCAGACCTCTGTTCTAGTTATTTCATTTTGGGACATCTAAAAATATAATGTGAAATGTGGGTACCTATTTATGCAAAAGACATTTAAAGCAGTGTTGTTTAGGCTAAAATCTACATGTCTAGATTTGTAAGAAATTAAGAAAGCCCTTTATGTTACTGTCTTGCCTTGATAAAATTTTACATAATTACTTGAAAAAATGTTTCATACAATGCTAAATGTAAGGAATGGGATACAAATTTTTATATATATAATAATCATGCCTGGGCACTGTGGCTCATGCCTGTGATCTCAGCATTTTGTGGGGCTGAGACAGGGGATTGCTTGAGGCCAGGAGTTTGAGACCAGTCTGGGCAACATAGTGAGACCTTGTTTCTTTAAAAGTAAATAAATAAATAAATAAAATAATCATAACCATATTTTTAAAAGATAAATAATTCTGGGAAAGAGTCACAAATAGTGGTGATGAAATAAAAAGTCAATAAATAATTTTCTTTTTCTTTTTTTTTTTTGAGTTGGAATCTCACTCTGTCACCCAGGCTAGAGTACAGTGGCATACCCATGGCCACTGCAACCTCGACCTGCTGGGCTCAGGGGATCCTTCCGCCTCAGCCTTATTTATTTATTTATTTATTTATTTATTTATTTATTGTAGAGATGAGGTCTCACCAAGTTGCCCAGGCTGGTCTCGAATCTGTGGGCTCAGGCAATCCTCTCACCTAGGCCTCCGCCTCAGCCTTATTTATTTATTTATTTATTTTATTGTAGAGATGAGGTCTCACCAAGTTGCCCAGGCTGGTCTCGAACCTGTGGGCTCAGGCAATCCTCTCACCTAGGCCTCCCAAAATGCCGGGATTATAGACGTGAGCCACAGTGCCTGGCCTGGTACAGCATTTTCAAGGTCAAGTTCAATAGCATAAAAAATAAACATAATCTTCTCCAAAGAAGACATGCAAATGTCCCAAGAAGCACATGAAAAGTTGTTCGACAAAACCAGGAATTAGAGAAAAGCCAAAGTCAATCACAGTCATAATGAGATACCACTTCACACTCACTAGGATGGAAGCAATAATCATAATGCAAGATGACAAGTGTTGATAAGGATGTGGCATTACTGGAACTCTTATGCATTGCTGGTGGGGCCATGAAGTGGCATGGCCACAGTAGAAAACAGTTTGACAGGTTCTTATGAAGCTAAGCTCAGAGTCAGCTTACAACCCAGCAATCCACTCTTGGGTGTGTGCCCAGGGGAAGTGAGCACAGCTGTGCCAGCAGGCACCTGTGTTGCTGGCATAGCCACAGGGGGTCATGGGGGAGGCAGCCCGTGGCCATCCACTGATGAGCGGGTCAAGTGTGGCGTGTCGGTGCAATGGAATATTATTCGGCCATGAAAAGAAACAGAGAAGCCGGGCTTGGTGGCTCGGCCTGTAATCCCATGCCTTTGGGAGGCTGAGGTGAGAGGATTGTCTGAGCCCGCGGGTTCGAGACCTGCCTGGGCAGTGAGACCTCATCTCTACAATAAATCAAAAAATCAACCGGGTGTGGTAGCGCATGCCTGTAATTCCGGCTACTTGGAAGGCTGAGGTGGAAGGATCGCCGGAGCCCAGCAGGTCGAGGCTGTGGTGGCCGGGAGCGGCCACTGCACTCCAGTCTGGGCGACAGAGTGAGACTCCGACTCAAAAAAATAAAAAGAAACGGAGGACAGGTAAATGCTGCAAGAGGAAAAGCCTTATGCCAGGCATGGGGTATCATGCAGCGTGTACCATGCCATTTCCTTTTTTTGAGTTGGGGTCTAACTCTGTCACCCAGGCTGGAGTGCAGTGGCAGAATCACAGCTCTCTGTAGCCTCGATCTCTTGGGCTCCAGCAATCCTTCCGCCTCAGCCTCCTGAGTAGCTAGAACTACAGGCAAGAGTCACCATGCCTGGCTAATTTTTCACTATGCTGCCCAGGTCTCAAACTCCTGGGCTCAGGCAATCCTCCCGCCTTGGCCTCCCATAGCGCTGGGATTACAGGTGTGAGCCACCATGCCCAGCTAATTTCTTTCTTTTTCTTTTTTCTTTTTTTTTTTTGAGTTGGAGTCTCACTCTGTTGCCCAGACTGGAGTGCAGTGGCACACTCCCGGCCACCGCAGCCTTGACCTGTTGGGCTCCGGCGATCCTTCCACCTCAGTCTTCCAAGTAGCTGGAACTATAGACGCACGCCACAACGGCCGGCTAGTTTTTGTGATTTATTGTAGAGATGCGGTCTCACCAAGTTTCCCGGGCTGGTCTTGAACCCCCGGGCTCAGGCAATCCTCTACCCTTGGCTTCCCAAAGTGCTGGGATTACTGGCTGAGCCACCACATTTGGCCACTTGGCTAATTTATATGAGTGTCCAGTAGGAGGGCTGTGGAGACAGACAGTGGATCAGTGATTGCCAGGGGCAGGCAGGAGGCCGTGGGGGTGACAGCTTGGTGGGTATAGGGTTTCCTTCTGGAGTGCTGAGAGTGTTCTGGAACTAGTACCGATGACGGCTGAGTGGCACTGTGAATGTACTAAATGTCACTAATGGTATAACTTACTTATGCCTGTTTTCCCAAATTAAAAAGTGTATACACACATAAACTGCCACACCAATTCTACCAGGACATTATTCTAAAGATGAAGTCATGAATGTGACAAAGATTTGTACAAAACGGGCTCCTTGTGTACGTATCATTGCAGTTGTAAATAATGGCAAGCATTTGTTTTTTTTGAGTTAGAGTCTCACACTGTCGCCCAGGCTAGAGGGCAGTGGCACGCTCCCAGCCACCACAGCCTTGACCTGCTGGGCTCCGGCGATCCTTCTGCCTCAGCCTTCCAAGTAGCCAGAACTACAGGCAC